CAGGATACCGCACTGGGATTGGTTACTGTACACAGCAGGATACCACATTGGGATTGGTTACTGTAGTCAACAGGATACTGGACTCTCATGCAGCAAGAAATACAAGTGAAAGTCAAGTTGTAGTGAATCGCTGATTTACTGTGGATGGGTTTGAAATTCTAGCCACATCGCACCCGAGTGTTTGGTTGAATTGCAGTACTCAGTGATCTAACTGCGAACAGAGCTCCTCAAGTATTCTGTTTGCTGGAATTCTGATTTATTGTATTGTTTTTCCATGCTCTAGATTATAGATTTGATTGCATTAGTTCCGGCCAAATAAATATAAGAGAGCTTTGGACCGGACACCTGGGAAGACATCAAATGTGATTTCTCAGGAGTGGGTATTACTGCCAGGTTAAGCTATCCTGTAGGCAGTCGAGCACAGTCCACATGTTGATGATGCTTCCATTGTGTTGTAAGACAGGCAGGGAGTGCCAGTGTATTGACTCAGTGACACCAACAGGAGGCAGTCACATAGCCATCGGTCCCAACATGGCAGCTACACCCAGCTTCAGTCCCGGAGTGGGGGAGGGAGAGAGAAAATGGTAAGATTCCACTGGGATCTACATGGATAACAGGGTGAGGGCAGGATTCTCAGAGGAGACAGACAGATTGCATAAACCGGGCTCAACCTTTCCTGAATTTTAAAAGCTAGACGGATGAATTGAAACATTTACGAGAATGTTTCCAAGAATGAGATAGTTCAGTCCTGTAAGCAGAATGGAGACGCTGGTTCTGTTACCTTTACAGAGAAGGCTGAAAGATTCGGTAAAATGATTCAAAATGCTAGAGGGTCTAGATAGAGGCAATAGGAAGAAACTATTGCCACTGGTGGAAGGGTCTAGAATGAAAGGACACAGATTAAGTTAATTGGAAAAAGCAGCCATGGCGACATAAGATCAAACTTTTCACTGGGTGAGTGGTTGGGATCTGGAGCATGCTGTCTGGGACTGTGGCGGAGCTAGATTAAATCAAGGCCTTCAAAAGAGAATGGTATTATCTGAGAAGGTTACAGGCAGAAGGCAGCTAAAGGTGAATTGGTCTTTCGGAGGGCTGGCACAGACACAACAGGCTGATTGGCCTCCTTCTGTGCCCCTAAACATTCCGAGACTCCCAAAACATCATATGGGATCTTGCCTCACATTTAACAGCAGGCTCAGGGCCCCGACTCGAAAATACAAAAGCCTGAGTTTCACAAACAAGGAACGCTGCTGATTTTACGACATGGCATGTTTCCTGCCTTTAATGCACTGTAAATATATTCAGTTCATTTTCTATGAGCACACATACACACACACACACACACACACACACACACACACACACACACACACATAGCTGAAGCATCTGTTGTTTGCTGTTACACTCTCCCATGCCTTGGAGACCTGCAAGATCTGTTGATTAAACAAAGTAAATAATTATGCAAATAAAAGATTTCAAAAAGTCAGTCTCCATCTGTCAGTTGCCTCCCAGCTGCTCTACTAGACACTCACAAAGCAGCAATATTCCTGACACAATGTCACAGGCAAGAGCTGGGAGTCATTTTGCAACCTACTTGGGTTTGGTTGTCAAGAAAAGACAGACTTCCTTTTTATAGCACCTGTCACAATCAAAGGATGTCCCAAAGCACTTTACATTTCACTGAGTGCTGCTGGAATGGAGTTGCAATGTGCAGGTGTGGCACAGCAAGATCCCACAAACTGCAAATGTGATAGTGCAGAGATAAGCCGCGGCAACACTGTAGCTGATGGTGTCCTCAAGAATGAATGGGAACCCACTTCAGAAATATTAGAGGGCAGCTGATATTTATTTGAGAATATATTTAAGGGCTTGTTAAAGGTTAGACAGTGGCAGCGTCCCTATCTCTGAGCCAGGAGGCCTAGGGTCAAGTCCCACCTGCTCCAGGCAGGGATGTGCCATAACATCGCTGAACAGGTTGATTAGAAAATATAAAAGGGCTGGCTATTCTCAAGATGAGGAAGGAGGAGAGCAGACTGGCGTTTCTACTGGTCTACGGAACACAAATAAACAATTGCAGAAAACAGACTGGTCCCTGCTTTGGTAAATGAATAACTAGCAATATAACATTTCGTGCACATTGGTTAAGATATTAAAATTGATCTGAACACCAGGGAGAACTCAAACAAAAATAGAAATTGCGGAGAAACTCAGCAGGACTGGCAGCATCTGTGGAGAGTGAGAAACAGAGTCAATGTTTTGAGTTCAGTGACCCTTCATCAGGACCATGGAGAATTTTCTTACTCTTCTTACAACAATGCACCTTATGTAAACTTTGGTTGAACATCTAATCTGAAAGACGGTACCTACAACAGTACAGCACACCCTCAGCATTGCACTGAGAGGGTCAGCCTAGATTTTACACTCAAGCCCCTGGAACAGGCGCATTACCTTTTCACTCAGAGGTGAGGTAAGTAAAGCAGTAGATGACTAAATTTGGTGGACTGCTGTGTTGCCAGTTTTGCTGTTCTCCATGTGATTTCAAACACGAGCCAGTTAAGACAGCACCAAACTAAACACTGGAATCTCTCAGGAAGGGCAGCATCGCATGGACATTCGGTCTGGAACTCCAACACACACCAGTGCATATGTTACACCCTTACATGCAAAAAGAATTTGAAAAGCTGTGTATAAAATTTCCCGCAGTGCGTACAGAAACAAGAATGAAAGGAGGCCATTCTACCCCTCAAGTTAGTTCTGCCATTCAATGAGGTCAGAGCCGATCTTCATCTTAACTCAATCTACCATAAAACCTTAACTTTACAAAATCTCATTTTACTTTTAAACTTATCCTTCAACTCACTCATTTAGTAGGGTGTGACAGGGATGCCCAAGACCAGGGAACTAGGGAAGAGGTGATGGTCATATAGCAATGAAGGGATAACTGAGCAAGAACAAGGTGCAGGGTGCATATTTGGGAAACAAGTAATCAGTTTGGTGGGAGTTTTGTGATGTGCAAGTTGAAATCAAACTCTGAACATGCCTGGACCCTGTCTAAGCAATTTAATAAGCCTCAACAGCTTCAAGGTGTGGAGAGAGTTCCAACTTACATGCATACTCTGGTGAAATTGTACCAGCTTCTTCCCTTATGCTTTGACCATGTCCTGATAGCTGTGGAAATCCCCCACCTCCCCTCTGTTTTCTTTTCTTCCTCAAATAAAGGAACGTGACACCCAGAAAGTTAACCCAGCCCAAAGCCGCGATTTCCTGATAAATCTTCCTCGCTTCCTTCAATCATGAGGCTACAAAAACAAAGTTGCTGGAAAAGCTCAGCAGGTCTGGCAGCATCTGTGGAGGAGAAAACAGAGTTAACGTTTCGGGTCTGGTGACCCTTCCTCAGAACTAATGGTGGCTGGGAAAATAGGGAGGCGGGTGGGGTAGGGAGTAAACGATGGGATAGAGCCCAAAGAGATAGAAAGACAGTTGGATAGACAATGGAGTTGCTAACGATCAGGCTGGGAGGGTGAATAGTTGTTAATGGGGTCTGTTAGTGACTAACAACAGGGGGTGTGTAGTGGCAGGCTATGTGGTAACAAGGCCTGGTGTGTGGGGTGGGGGGCTGGGACATGGGAGAGTTTAGGCCCTAAAATTATTGAACTCAATATTGAGTCCAGAGGGCTGTAGGGTCCCCAAGCGGAAAATGAGGTGTTGTTCTTCCAGCTTGCGCTGGGCTTCACTGGAACACTGTAGGAAGCCAGAGACAGAGATGTTGGCCAGGGAGCAGGGTGATGCATTGAAATGGCAGGCAACAGGTAGTTCAGGGTCTTTTTTGCGAGCAGAACGTAGATGTTCTGCAAAGCGGTCGCCAAGTCTACGCTTCATTTCCCAGTGTAGAGGAGACCACATTGTGAGCAGCGAATGCAGTAGACTAGATTCTTGGAAGTGCAGGTGAAGTGTTGCTTCACCTGGAAGGTATGTTTGGGCCCTTAGATTCTGGGGAGGGAGGAGGTAAATGCGCAGGTGTTGCACCTTCGCCGGTTACAGGGGAAGGTGCCGTAGGGATGTGGGGAGGTGTTGGGGGTGAAGGAAGTGTGGACTAGGGTGTCCCGGAGGGAACGGTCCCTGTGGAAGGCAGACAAGGGAGGGGAGGGGAATATTTGTCTGGTAGTGGCATCTTGCTGGAGGTGGTGGAAATGGCGTCAGATGATCTTCTGGATGTGGATGCTGGTGGGATGGTAGGTGAGGATAAGGGGAACCCTATCGCTGTTGCGGGAGGGAAGAGAAGGGGGTGAGGGCAGAAGTGCGGGAGATGGGTCGGACCCAATTGAGGGCCCTGTTGACAACAGAGCTGGGGAATCCTCGGCTGAGGAAGAATGTGGACATTCATGAGGCTACATCCTTTTACCCAGCTCTGAGCGTGTGAGCCACCTAGCGAGAGGCAGCTAGTTTTTATCCAACTGATATCTGTACACTCAAACAGACAGCAAAAGGCTTTGAGAGATTTACACAGGGTTTTATAATAAACTTATAGTTTAGCTCAAACACCAATTTCCACATTTCCCTGTTAGAACAGTTCTTTATCCAGAAGCCAACTCTTCTAGAGCAGGTGAGACTTGAACCCAGCCCTCCTGGTAGAAACAGACTCTTTTTTTTTCATTTCTTTCCATCCAGAGATGTTGTTACATGCCTCTTTAACCACCATCAAATCACATGTGTTTATAATTGAAAGAAGAATTTATCAGCATAGCCCATCAAATACTGCAAAGACAACAAAAAGGTGAGAGAAAGGTAGGGAGAAAAGGAGGGGATTAAATCAGAATAGACTTGGAGGGGGAGATACAGAACTGCATCCCTCAAGGTACCCACCTCTCTCTAAAGGCATCGAGAGTGTTGGTGGAAAAACACAGCTCATGAATTTTCTAATCAACTGCTCAGAGGTGTTATTACACACCCCTGGAGTGGGTGAGGTTTGAAGACACGTCTCTCATCTCAGAGGTAGGGACACTACCCCCTGCACCACAAGATCCCCAGCTCTCAAACACGAAGAGCAACACCTGCTCTCAACCAACATTGGGAACTGTCCTTCCTCATTTGTATTTGTATGCCCTGTATTTGTAACACTGGCAGTGGAGAACAGCATCAGGATACACTTCATGAAGGTTCGAGATATCTCCCTGTCTACTGAGCCACACTCAAAGTTACGCATGAAACTCATGCTCATTTTGCCAACTGGGAATCAAGCAGTAGCCTCAAGTACAACGCGAAGGGAAATGAGAAAATAGGGTCACTTACAGTTGCACCATTGGCACCTGGAGGCCCTCTCACTCCTGAAGGACCAGGTGGGCCCTGCAAACAAAGACAGTATGAGATTAATGTTAAATGGTGCTTTGTGATGCATATAATGTTCTAAACCATGGATCAGAACCAATCTCACTTTTACGAATAATCAACAAAAGAACAGAACACATTGCCCAATTTAGATGCCCAAATCTTAGCTCAAAAATCATGGACTGTGGGGCACTCTTGACCTTTGATCTCGATATGAAGATGTAGCTGGTGCTGAGTTCGGGAGGTTGTCAAGTCCACCATCATTTGGGAATAAGGAGCATCAGGATTAACTGGATCTTTTCCTTTTTACGGCCCATTATAATCACCCAGGTGCATGTTCAAGTCAATGCAGGCACATAGTGGTTCTGACATGTCTTGTTCTTCAACCTGTGCTGACGTTGTGGTGATATTTCTGAATCTGCCGTGCGGGGAGAGCACTGGGTTCAGAGTCACAGTGCAGCTCTCCACATAACAGATAACCCAATCACCATTACCAGCTCCTCGGCAACGCCACGTCTCCGTGCAATGAAGGTGGCCGCTAGGAATTTTTCAAAAACAGTATTTCCGGGAATGTGGACATTGCTGGAGAAAAGTGGTGGTGAGCTGTCTTTGTGAACCGCCTGTCCATTGTAGGAGTTAGTCACAGCTGAAGGACATTCATGGCCATTTCAAGGTTAGTTAAGAGCCAACAACACTGATGGCTGACTAAATAAAGAAAGCAGATTTTGTTCTCTAAAGGGCGTCAGTGTTGGATTTCCACAACAATCAAAGATAGTGGTTATGGTCACCATTATTAAAACTAGCTTTCCATATTTGATTTATTAACTTAGACTCCCACCACCTGCCATGGTGCGATTTGAAGCCTTGAAACAGGGCCTGAGCCACTGGGTGGCCAGTCCAGTAACAGTACCACTACACTACCATCTACCCATGACCCCATTGCTGCATTATGTCTACCTACCATTGGTCCAACATCTCCGCTTTCACCTTTGTCGCCAGGAGGGCCAGGCAGACCCTGCAAAACAAAAATAGGTCATAAGTCAAAGGCATTAGGCTCACTTGATTGATCCAGTTTCGAGACTGTGAGCCTGAAAGTGTATCGCAGATGGAAGGGCAGCTTGGAACATTGCTGGGGTCGACCCAAAATTGAGGACAGCTATCACCTCAGCTGATCTGAGCACAAGGCTTGGTGTATTGAACCACATGCCATCAGTTCTGTGTTTATGTAGTGTCTGACTGTATCCCTCTACAAAAGCAAAATGGATTATTCTTCTCAGTGCAGTCACTGTTCTCATGTAGGCAAAGCTATAGCCACACTGCAGACAGCCAGCTCTCGTGAACAGCAAGTTAAACTACCAGTGAAAAAGGTAACCGAAGGCCACACCCTGCTCTCCTCAGAGTGGTTCAATGTGATCCCTTAAGCCTTACCTGAAGAGGGCCCTCTGTTTCATATTTGCAGCCAAAAGGGGCTGCTGATGGTGTGATGCTCCCTTGACATTGCACAGAGGGGCAGTGGCACCTATAACTTTCATATAGAAAGGCACAAGTGCTGCCAAAAACCCAAATGGATCTCTGTAAAGTACAGCACACACAACCTGTCAGTCAGCACACCATGCATAGGGACAGTACCCAGCAGTATGTGGAACCATCACATCCCGTTACTTCTTTATTCAGTAAAATTTAGACAAATACGTACCGACTGCTATGTAATGTACGAGGTACTCAAATAGTGGCACCCTGCTGTTCACTGGGCCTCTGAACAGTCAGATTTCTCCTCACTCAATGCTGGAAGCTCGTTTCCCTGATTCCACTGTCAGGAGCTATAAATTCTGACTGTGACTCAAAAACTATCTGATAAACCCAAACCGTCCGAGCTACTTTGTGCTTCTAAGTGGAATCAACATTGAGAAGCAAACCGGGTTAAGGATAGCATGAGATTTTGATTGCAGGCTCTGTGTGCCCTATTTATCAACTGTGTCACATCCCTCCTTGCTCACTGACAGATTACACCACTGAGGAACAGGTCAGAGGTCACACAAGGACCTTTCACCTCTGAGCAATGAAGCCATACACTTATTCCCCAACCATTAATTGAAGCAAAGTGAAAATCTTTTGTTCCTTCCATTTGGTTCCTGTGCTGCAGACAAATAATAGATAGCAATGCCCCAACTGGGAGGCTGCTTAATGTTGGATCACCGTAGAATACATAGCCATCAGACTGATAACGATCAATCTGGGGCTCAGTGGCAGGGAGGGTAGACCAATTATTACAGGGTCATCTCAATCATCTCAAAGCTTCCCCATCTCTAGAAAAACCCATAAGTGAGCCTACTCAGTATTCTGCTGAACCATTGGCTCAAGTCTCTCTGTTGACATGACTTTTATTAGAATGATACAGTATAGAAAGAAGAAAAAACACAAAGCCAGGGAGGGTGGAACAGGGAAGAGCAGGCAAAAGCAAATAGAGGGAGAGAAAAGGAAGAAAGCAAGAAAGAGAGAAAGAGGAGAGAAAGTGAAAAGGAGAAAAGGAACAGGTAGGAAGAGAAAAGACAGAGTGGAATGAACCAACACAATATTGGAGCAAATTACTGCAGATGCTGGAATCTGTACTGAAATCAGAAATTGCTCGAGATCACAGCGGGTCGGGCAGCATCCATGGAGAGAGAGCAAGCTAACGTTTCTAGATGACTCTTCATCAGAGGAATGAACCAACATTGATGTGTCCCTTTTCATTCAATAAACTATTATGTGCTGACTGTCACATAACCTCAGTTTGTGATTTTGATTGAGAGATGAATAATGATGACGACACCATGGGGGATCTCCCGTGCTGCTGACATTTCTACTTGATGTTAAGCTGCTGAAAGATTTTCTCACTTAGTCAGGTTTTGACATCCAGCCTGGAGCCCAGAATCGAACTGAGAGTCAATGGAGGTCTCGCAGGAGTAGACAGATGCAAATATCAAGAGTTGTTCAAATTGTTAATTCTAATTGTCTTAAGGGCCCATTCTCCTCCCCTAGAAATACGTAACTGAGGCTGTGGGATGAAATGTCATCTGTGCTTAATTAAATATGCCAAAACCAGCCTTACAGACCCACAGAAGGCAGTAATACTGTGCTAAACAGTCGGAGTTGAAGGCAGTTGAGGTAGAGGCTAGCCATAATCAAACAGAATGGTGGAATAGGCTCGAGGGGCTGAATGGTCTCCTTTTCCCATGCTTCCCTTCATCAGATGATCAAAACGTTAAGCACCTGACCTGGCAATCCAATCAAAACAATTTGGCTCCTGCATGAAATTCACAGGCTCTCAAGAGGTTCAAATTGGCACAGAAGGAGGCCATTCAGCTCCTGCAGGCTGCTTTCCCATTCACATTTATCATGGCGGATCTGCGCCATGACCCCCAGATACCCATCTTCATATTCCCACCAAATGAAAATCTATCCACTTGTTTTTAAATCTGCTGTTGGTTACCTTATCCTGTTGTGCCGAACATCAACAGCTTTTTAGGGTAAAGTGTGTAAGATCTCACTGTGTGACGAATTGCTTCCTGACACCACCTCTGGCTTGAACTGTAAAGTTCCCTCCTTGCCCACCCATTCTCCTTTGTTCTGGACGAGACCAAACCACAGTTCCCCTCCATATTCTCCCGCCCCACTCTGCACCTGAGTTTCTCTCTGTCAACCCCCATCAAATTCTTCCATCATTTTAAACACGATGATTAGACGCCCCCTTCATCTCCTGCACTCTTGAGGAACACAAGCATCATTGATATAATCTAGCAGTGTAACTTTTACCTTTACATCCCAGTACCTGATGAAGCGCTGCTGATGCAGCCTTTCTGAGGGCTGGGGTCCAAACTGGATGCAGTCACTCTAAATGGCCTCCAATTTGACCTGTACAACTATAATGTACAGGTGCGCTGTCCATCCTTCCCACTACAGGTGTAATGTACTTGTTGAACTATTGACTTCTCACCCACATCCTCAGGCTAAGTGTTTGTGCAATCTCCTACTCTATTCTACTAACTTTCATTCCTCTCACCCACTCACTCTTCTATTTCCCAAATTCCTGCACTTTATTTTCTTTTGACTGTTTTTGTGTAAACTTCCTGCACCTGATTGTTTGCCGGTTCCAATCTCGTGAATCTACCCAGTACTGGCATGACAAGGTGTAGAGCTGGAGGAACACAGCAGGCCAGGCAGCATCAGAGGAGCAGGAAAGCTGACGTTTCGGGTCTGGA